CATACATATATACATATATATATAGCTTTGTGAGAAACTCGCAGCTGGTATTGAAGTTAAAAAACAACAGAACCTAAAAAGTCCAACGGACCAACAGCTGCAAAGTGGAACTCCATTTGTCTTATTAAGGTGGTATGTTGTTTATCAAAATACCCATTGATTATTTAATCCAATATCAATGATAACTTGTTTGTTTCAAGAACCCATGACTTAATTCCATTAGACTTCGATAACATTTCAACTGAAGACATTTCACATGACGGGTGACGGAGGTCTTCAGTCCATTCATTGGTCCAGTCTGTGGTGGGACCAGTCAACACCGGTTCCTGCATGAACTTTTATGCAACAAAGTTCAAAGTTCAAACTCATTTCTTTGTTTAAATTCACACCTTTTTTGGTTGGAATTGTTTCAGCTGAAGATGCAGGAAAAAGCACAGGAGCCAATCGTTCTACAGCAGGGGTTCCCAACCCCCGGTCCAGGCCCCGGTGCCGCTCATATCCCTTGACTTTCTGACTGATGTAGAGATAATCTGTGAATGTTTCCTTCAGACTCTGACACTGACTCAGGTGCAGCAGATGGTGATCCTTCAACCATGGTGCAGTTTGACAGAAACTCAGCTGAAGGGAAATCATTTCACGGATCTTAGTCACATGACACACAAATAAAACCACGTCAACATGTGAACATCATCCTCGCTCGTGCTCAGGTAAATCAGGAACCACACCGTTGGCCAAGACAAAAGGCTCGTGTTCTCATTAAATCTGAACGTTGAACTTTAACAACACTGTCAAGACTTTAAGGTTCAACTGTTTGTCAACAGATAAAAACGGAATCCAAGAACAGAACGTCTGTGGTTGTCAGGCCTGATCTCTGTTCCTGTGTGGAGTCATCAGTGACATCACACTCACCTGTGTCCCTGTGATTGGTCACTCAGCTGTCACCTGCTGTCACCTGCTGTCACCTGGTGGGGTCACTGTCTCGGCTCAGGTCAGTGTAAACTTCAGGTTCTTCTGTTGAGTTTTTGTTGTTTTGACATAAACTCCCTGCACAGAAACAGTCTCTCCACTGCTGTCTTTGTCTCTCTCTCGTCTGTCGACGGCCAACTGTGACAGTCTTATTTATGTAGAAGAGTCTAGAGTGAAGGAGTGTGTGTTTGTGTGTGTGTGTAAGAAGAGAAGCCCGGTACAAACGGACTCACCTTGGTTCAGGTCGTCCTTTTAAAAATCCACTTAAATTCACAGCAAGTTTCTTTTTTGTTGAAAAGTTGAGGACAAAGTCGTGTTCACAGTACAGACAGAAAGAACGGAACAACAGACCAAGACAACTTCACCAGCTCACTGATGTCTGATGTAACACGTAAATATTATTATTATTATTATTATTATTATTATTATTATTATAGTCTTTATTGTCAGTGTAACAGAGAGAGTGTGGAGATGGTTTGGTCCAAACCTAAAAGCAGTTCTTCATATAAAGAAAAGACACAAGTGGAAGTAAAAAACAGGACGGGGGGGGGGGGGGGACAACTTTTTGCCTCAGGATGAAAATGACCAAATTGAACAGTAACACCTTGAAGATCATCGTCCTGGCCACGACATCGTCTGCCAATCAAACTTTTTAGTTATTTCTCCTAATCATGAGGGGTATTTTGGGTGGAGTAGTGTTTGAAAGAAAGAAGATTCAAACTAACCCTCTGGTGACCTGCTCCTCTGCCACATGACAGGACTATTATTTCCTAATTAAGAGTTTCTCTGTTTTTTCTGCACCTTTTTTGTCTCTTTGAAAAGAGCGAACCCCTACTGGCTGAAATCACCTCTCCGATCAGTCGCCTCGTCTGGGCTTTTGCTCTAACATGTTGAACGCGATCTCGGTTCAGTTTTGACCTCTTTGTGACAAAACTAAATGAAGGGAACAAAGGACTTCCTCAAAGTTCAAAGCCAGAGTGGAGATTAGCATGAATTAAGTCCAAGTTTACATCTTATTGAATGGCGGTTTGTACTGACGCATTATCAACGCTGACTTTGCCAAAGTTAGCTTTGATGGAAAGGCAAACCTGTACAACGAGTGCGTTCGTTCCTCAACATTCAGAACAAACAGTTCAAAGCTGTAAAGGAGCAGTTCTGGATTTTTAAGAGGAGCTCACTGTGGTTTTCAATCAAAGTAAAAGCTGTTCCTAGCAGTTCTTGACAGATGTGTTGTCTGTGAAGATCCTCAGTCGTCCAGGAGCTGGTCAGGGTCCAGTCAACTAACAGAACTCTTCAACCCCACAAAAAAGGCTGCTTTTAAGTCATTCGCTTTTTTTTTTTTTTTCTCCGTTAGAAGTAACATGATTTTTATACAATATGCATTTCTTTAATATTTAAACAGCTTATACAATATGCATTTCTTTAATATTTGAACAGCCAAAACATTTTTTCGGCTCCTTCTGTCATATTTGTTCATTATTTTAAATTGGATTTATTAAACCCCCAACGAGCCAGCAGGTCAAAGCAGGTCTTTTGTCACAGTTTTATCTGGGTTTTATACAAATACGTTGTTCTTTGTCTTTTTATTGTTTGGATGACAAAATATTGACCATGTTGCGTCCTCACATAAACAGTTGCTCAATACATTTGGCGTCTGTTTATGACGATTAACAACAACTTGAATTACACTCAAGGCAACGGCACCATTTTATTGATTTCAACACCAAAACAGCCCAGAGGCTCCGTGTCACTTTGACACTCGTGAATTTCCCTTTGATGAACCGATGCCTGGGGTGGTTGATCATTACTGTGGGCCTTTGAGTGCCGTTAGGATGATTGACACTAAAAGAAAGTGTTCAGTAGTCCAGACTGTGGAGGACTGCACTGATGAAGCCGTAAAGGCTCTTCAACTTTGTCAACAGATTGCGTGCAAAACCTGACAAGTTACTGCAACCAAACTAGTCTGTTTAGAAAGCTGGGAACGTGGACGCTGCCAAATGAAACAACAGCAAATGTCGAACCTGAGAGAGTGGAAGTCAAAGGTTCTGTTTACAGAGCATTACAGAACGTGAAGTGACAATGAGACTTTGATCTATCAGTCACCATAATGTCCATAATGTCCATAATGTCCATAATGTCCATAATGTCCATAATGTCCATAATGTCCAGTGATCAGTTCAACCAGAGAAAACTGAAGCCTTTTACTTCAGGTGTGTTCTCACATTCCTGGGAGTCACTCTTCCATAACTATTTATTTAAAGGTAGTTGCCACCTCACTGTGACTCACTGTGACTCACAGAAGCACCCCGAGCCTCGGGCGTCAAACACTAAAATGGAATTCTTGTCCTTTGACTCACTGCCGCCCTGTGTCACTGCTGTAGTTTTAGTTGGAAACATAAAAAACACAGGTATCATGTTTTTCTGATAAGAACGTGAACAAACGGTGTTCTGTGGAGGAACGAATATAAATGAAATGTGTGAATCTTATATTTAGATATGAGCTCTAACAGAACTGTCACCTGGACATTTGGCTTTCAGTGTAAAAACAATTGGTTCACCATTGGCCGTAGTATCTAAGAGTTCTTCCTCATCATCTTCTTCATCATCTTCATCTTCTCCTTCTTCGTTGATTAGAGAGGATCAAACATCGATCGTCTGCTCAGATCACTCCCTGAATCTCAGTCAAATGGAATCAAATTTTACTGCAATACTAAGTAAATACGTTAAACTATTTATTTTGACCGATTCCTTTAAACTACGATGTGTTTTCCTTCAGAGAAGTGTTCATTCAGGTGAGGCCGTTCAGGCTCAGAGCGGTGAACCCTGCGTCAGTGACATCACACTCAGCTGTGTCTCATCAGCCTCACTGCCGTCACCTGGTGCCTGCCTATAAAAACCTCTCCCTCACTCTGTCCTGGTTGGCTCCCTGTGACGGTGGGCTTGAGCTGCGTATGTGCTGATGGTCTTTGTGGTCTTTATTTGGAATTTGACCTGTGGAAAAAAAAAAAGATACTGTCATTTCTTTGTGTCACAAATAGAACAAATAGAGAGCGAGTTCCGTCTGCTGAGTCCTGAAGTCAGAATAATACAAAATGAGGCACTGAGTCCAACAACAGCTTTAGGATCGGGGGGGGCTGTATCTACAAACAAACCCTAACCTACACACGTCTGTTGATTATGAATGTTTACGTTTGACCTTGACCCCAACATAGGTCAGTGGCAGAGGACGTGTTGGCGTGCTACGTCACGACGACACAGGTCACATCATCGTTTTGACAAATGCAGTGAATCAGTGAAGAATCTCAACACAGCGATTCTTCTTTCAACAGCCTCTCTGTTTTTGATAGTTTTGGAACCTCGCTATTGCCTCTGAAGACGCTCCGACTATTTTCTTGTTTTGTGAAAAATCCATGTTTTTAATCTCCTGGTGGACTTTATTATTTAAGAATACATGGGAAAATAATCTGTGGAATTTGTTGGGAGGGAACGTGTCGAGAGGACAGGTCTTCACAATACGTAGATGCCTCTTATCTTTTTCTGCCGTCAATCATTATTTGATTTTGATTTTATGTAATAAACAACATCAACAGGATATGTCGCTGATTTACAGCCTTCACTGGTGTTTGAGAAAAGACTCAGGCAAAAATGTGTAAAAAGAAAATGCTTGGATGTCCAGTTGTCCACTAAAGGACGTGTCCGGCTACTCACCTGCAGAAAAGTCTGAATATTTTAAACCAAATTCTTCAGTGAAATGTTGGAGAAGGATTGATGTGTGGGAGCTG